AAACAATTTTTTTTTCTCCGCTCCTCATGGAGGATATACCGAAAGTGTTGACAGTAGACAACCACGTGGAGCCAAGCTTGAGCAGGGGTGGAGGATTACTTAACATAATTTTAAAAATGTCTACCCGTTTAGAGCTTGACCAGGACAGAACAAACGACCTTCAGAGCAACCAATTAGCGACTGGTAAAGGGGGATGTGGAGAAAGTAGAACATGAGAAAATATTTTGCGTAAATATTACAACTGTACTTTTGTCTTACTGCTGGCTCCTCACTGTCTAATGGTGGGCACAGACCTACAGAAATCATTGTCCAAAGCTGAAAATCCACTCAGCCATATAATAAGTTAGTTTTGGAATTTAATGAACTACACCACATCCATGTCAAAGCAAACCGTCCTGGTAGGATAACAAAACAAGTAAACGTCATCTCTGTCCTAATTCTTCCTGTCTTTGTCTTCTATTGGCTTCGTATGCATTTGTTGCCTGAAGAGGAAGTTTCTGGGAAGTCCGAACAAAGGGAAGACTATGAGGATAAACCTCATCAGCGCAAATTCATTTCGAAAGTGTGAGATGCTATAATTAAAGTGGATTTCCAAGAGAATCTGTTTGTCAAGTTGTAAATCATATTGCATGGAAACTTGTGCTCTCACAGAAAGCAAGTTTCTTCAGTTTTTTTTGACACACCTAAATGATTGTGATCAATCAAAGATTAACATCAGACAAAGATAAATACAACAAATACAATAGCAGTTTACAAATGAGGATTTTATTTATCAAGAGAAAAAAAAAATCACCCACCCAGGCCCTGTGTGAAAATATAATCCCGTTTATTATATCATAAATTTGGTGGGATTAACCACATATTTAGTTTCAGCAGGCACACCCAGGACTCATTACAGCCTGGCATGTACAGTCAATAAATCACAAATATAACCTGTGAACAGGCTGAAAAATGTCTAAAATGAACACATCATAGCCTGATCTAAAGAAATACAGAAAAGGATAAGAGAACAAAGTCGCTGTCTAGAAACTCTTGCAAAAGTATTTCTAAGTCATTGAGACTTCAGCAGCTGCAAGCACCAGCAGAGTAGTGTCATAAAGTAGTGTTTGTTTAATAAGAAGAAATGTAGTCAGCTACAATGGCCTCTATGCTCACTCTGGAAGGCTCCACTGCTGAAGCAAAAGAATGTTGAAGCTTCTTGAAGCTTGAAAGATTTGGAGAAGCCAGTGAAATAAATGAAGAATAACATCTGGTCAGGTCAGAGCAAACCTGATCTCTGCATGTGTCATTGCACACACACAATGTGGAATGACACACAGTGTGTCATTGCACACACACAATGTGGAATGACACACAGTGTGTCATTCCACATTGTGTGTGTGCAATGACACAGAATGATCAGAATCATCTGACTAGTATCAACTTTTAAAAAGTTAAAAACTTGGTACTAAGCGGAACATGAAGGATTTTCAGAACAAGACGCAGAAATTCTTTGTAACAGAGTGTGAAAAAATTACACCAGAGAAATGATGTGACTAGAATTTATTATTACCAAGAATATTTCCACAAATTATTAACTAAATTCTAGTAATTGTAATCAACATTTTTTTACTTGTACCATGCATTTTTTTTTACCCATATACTCATTTGTGGACTAATTTGATTCTATTTCACTGTGTGCAAATTATTTGGGTTGGTGCCAATATGTGGTAGGAGTTTAATGCCAATTGACACATCGGACATATTTACGTGCTCTTCTCACTGTACATGATATGCTGCTCAGACAAAACAGACCCGAATTAAAGCAGGATGTTCAAAGACAAGAAAAGGATTTATTTTAATAAAGCAAAACAAAAGCCGCTCTCTGCGGAGCCGGATGTTTGCAGGAACACTCTGACCACAGCTGACAATGAAAACAAGACCTGACATGACAAACTTCACAATGCAAGCTAGAACTAGATCTGACTGGGAACACCTTAAGCCTGGAACTACACACCCTGAGGAGGCGTGAGACTGATTCAGAGCAGGATTTGTATCCATCGCCATAGCTGCCCTTTCAGGATTATTTTTTTTAAGTTACATAAATTCAGTTGGAAACTGATCATAAATCTTTAGTTTTCCCACATTTGTCACATTGCAACGATCAAGTTCAGAGTATTCATTTTGGTTTCAATGTCACAAACCAAACCAAAACACTACATAATTGGGAAGTGAAAGGAAAAATATCCATGGCATTCAGTATTTTTATGAGTAGAATAAAAAATATGGCCTGCATCCAGCCCTCTTTTCAATGATGCCACTTAAAGGGGCAGTATAATGTTTTCTCCAGGCACAGAATTCAATTTAATAGCACAATCAAGTAACTGTCTTACCTTCACATAACACATATAATTTGACTTTGATGGCCTAAAATTGACCTTTGTCTCTTTAAGAACCTCCTGCCCTGTCTAACACTCTCTGTTCAACACGTCATCACAACAATCCCTTTCCAGTATCCAGTTTGCAACCATTTTAAGGGCTGAGATGTAGTTTATGCGATACACTCAGAAAACACGCTGTTCCACAAGGTGCTTGTTAACTGCTGCTGCCACTAGTCTGGTGGAGCTCTCACAAGCTTTCGCTCTCTGAGACGAAAGCTTGGCTGGAGACTGCAGCTCAACGGAGGAACTTTGTGGAAACAGGCAGCACTTTGTGAGAGGAAGTACCACCAGAGATTCATGGATTTCTGAAACTTGTATTAAAGAACCAAAGCAACACCGCAGGTATTTTATTGATGAGGGAATGACATTGTAACATGACGGTAAAATGGTAAACTTACATGGTGCCTTATTGAGTCCACAGGACCCAAAGGTTGTTCACATTACATTCTCATTCACCCATTCACACACACATTTGCATGCTGATGGTGCCAAGCTACTGGATTGTAGCCACACCTGCTCTATAGGGCAGTCTGACAGAGGCAAGGCTGTCATGGGTGAAGTGTCTATATCTTACCCTGAGCCCTTCCCCTTTAAGAAAATCTTGAGAAAACATCTTCCTTCAGACTTCAATTAATAGAGTCCTCCAGTGAGTTAGTAATCAAAATTAATGTTTAGCCTATGCAATTATTAATAATTATGATTAACAATGTACTATCAATGAAATTATTAATAAAGTTAAAGGGGGTTGGAGGTGTTCTGAGCTTTACGTCATGTTATAAATGGTAAATGGACTGAACTTATATAGTGCTTTTCCAGTCATTTTGACCACTCAAAGTGCTTTACACTAGAGTCACATTCACCCATTCGCACTCACAAACGCTCACACATTTATACACCGATATGCAGATCGGTAGGCAACTTTAGGTATTTCCCTTATCAAATACCTGAAGTGTTGCTTTGATTCTTTCATGCACGTTTGAGAAATCCCCATAGCAGCCATTCGGAGGTGCCTGAACACTCGAAGCTGAAGTCTCCAAGCCGAGCCTTTGCCTCACAGAGCACCCCTCTCCCTCGCCTCCCCTGCTCAGCTCCACCAAACTACTGTGTTCAATTTCACCCATGTGTCTCTGTGAGAGGCTGGGCCTCAAAAGACAACTCTTATATGTTCAGCTCCGGGTTTTATTGCAGGGCTGAGTTCTTATCTGTGACGTCTCCGATGCGATGAATGCTGAGGAATGTGATTCAGTCAGTCTGTGGATAGAATGGAAATCCAACAAGTGTGTAGGTTTTTGTAAAATCTTTTACAAACCATGTTTCATTTTCATCCCATGTTGCAATTAGAGAGTAGTTTATATTTGACCGTGGAATAAAAGTTTCTGTTAAAAACAAACAATAACAAAAGGATGAAGAGTTCAAAGCATTTGAATACTTTTGCAAACAACTTATATCCGCATGAGCCACTTTGCTTTGTTGAAGTTTAATAATAGATTCCATGTAAATGAAAAGCAAAATAAAAATAACTCAACCTGGCAGCAGCAAATTAAACTATCTGATGTTCACCTGGCGTCATCAGGGACATGCATTAGGTCCTGCTTTGCATGTTACATGCAAACCAAAACAAATTCTTTGAAAGGAATACACACACACTTTGTAAATACTTTAAAAAAGCTTCCATCATACATTTTGGTGGTATATCGTAAAAAAAAAAAAAAACTTTGCTCATTCTTTTTATCACAACAGTTATTGCACAGTCAGATGCTGGACACGTCATAACCTTTTATTTTTTTATTTTTTTGATTTGCTACGAGTTTATCGTGTTTCAAGTAGAAATGTACAAATGATCACAGCTTATTCTACTTCGTCTGAGCTAATCTACCTCAATTAACAGCAAAAATGACCAATCAGGAAATCGTTCCTTAGTAATTGCAACAGCCAAGAGCTAAAAAATGATCCTTTGCTGGCTTCACTTGTACATTCATATACTGCACTGCTGTCTGTGGCATTTTATTATCTTTTCCATTGGCACTAATAGCCTGAAACATGTCAAATATAATAACCTAATATTCCTTGGTATGATATTGAAAAGCTTTAATCACAACAAAACAATCCTTTGATTAAAGGTTACATGGTCTGAAAACAAACCAAGACCTGAACATTCTCCAGCCTTTATCAGGTGCACCCATTCAACTGCTTGTTGGTTGCCAATCACTAGGTGGTCTCTGCTACAGGGTCATGCAGATTATACAATCCTCAGACTTGCAAGCATCCGTGACAATGAATGTTTTGTCCCCAAAGGACACCTTGTAGACGGGAAAAGCTGGGACCAAACTGTCCAAACTGCAGATGGCTGCAGATCAAAAACTTTAACAAAAGGCCGTCACATTTCTCTACTGCGACGCTGTTAGGGGGGTGCCCACAAAATTAGATTAGGAACATGGAGACCCTCTTTTATGAGATCTTTTCTTCGGTGTTTGGACAAAGTGGACAAAGGAAGGAAATCTGTTGTTTGATCCAGTAAGTCTGGACGCCTCTGAGGGAGGAGAGAAAGGAGGAGACTGGAGGTCTGCGCCGAATCTGACGTCAGGATCATTCAGCAAAGATAAGCCGTGGGACTCAACATTAACTACAGAGTCCATCCTTTCCAGGGAGGTGCTGGATATCAGAGGGGTTCGGGCGCAAAGACTGGCGCAGATCCGACACTATGAGGGCAGCAGATCAGAGCCGCGGTCTTCAGCCTCTCCACTGAACCGTCAAAAAGAGAAAATGGGAAGTGCGAGTGAAGACCTGCTCGTCACACTCCAGATCTTGCCCGGCTTCTTCTCCAACTGTCTCTTTCTGGCTCTGTACGACTCCGTGGTGCTGGTGAAGCGCGTCGTGGCGCTACTGAGCCGGTCGCGCTCCGCCGGCTGCGGAGAGTGGCGACGCATGCTGACATCCGAGGGGCTGCGCTCCATCTGGAACAGCTTCCTGCTGGACGCCTACAAACAGGTAAGACTCCTGACCCGGGTCCGGACCGGACCGGACCGGACCGGACCGGACCGCTCTCTGTGGTGCTGCACTCCGCTCAAGTTGTTTCAGCCTTCAGGTTTGGGGTAGCGACACAGTAGTAAATTTCAGTTCTTCTTGCACAAAGTTTAACGTTTTTTTTTTTAATTTATTAATTTTTTTTTTTAGAATTAATATTATGAGTCATCCTGATAAGATTTTTTATTTTCCTCACCATCCCAACCTTCCTCATGTTGTAGACCTTCTGCTAATTAACCTAAGTATTTGTGATATGTCTGTGTAATTATTGCTTCCTGCTTTTTGTACTATGTATTCTGAAGAAACTAAAGGCAAACAATTCAGCATTAGTTTTATTATCATCTAATTTTTATTATCTAAAAAATGCATTGCAATGAGACTCGTTTGTCAGATTAAAAGTGAAATAACTTATGCAGGTGCTAAAGATCATTTTCATTAAGCCCACATTTCCTTACTAGATATGTTTTTATTGGGCTGACAGTATTCTAATCGTAATTTGTTTTATCAGAAGTCATAATTATCATGGATAAACAGGGCTTGAAAACATTAGTCAGTATGTTGTTAATCTATAATCACCAAGTGTGTCACTTAGTGAATTGAGGTACTTGTAAACAAACTTTTAAATATTCATATTTATTAAATATGATTGCATCAGATATGGGCATCAGGCACAGTTAAACTTCACCCAACTGTTCAGATATAATAGTAATATGCTGGACATGAACGTCTGGTGCTTGAAGTATAGTATCTTATAAAGTTTGGATCCTAGCGGTCCTTTGCAGCTGTGCGATTACACACACTGATATTCCATGACGACTGCGATACTGTGCACCTCTCATCCTAATTACCCCCCTGTAGCTCAATGACTGTGTTTTGGGTCTTTGTTCTGCTCAACGATCAAATTTCACTCCTACATCCAATTTTGCAGTCTCTAACTTCATCCATGTTCCTACTACTGCCTGTCCTCAGCATCCAAACAGCATGATGTTGCCACCACCATGTTTCATTCTGGGGATTTCTGCCAAACAGCATTTTGCATGTTGGCCAGGTAGTTCAGTTTTCATCTCCTCTGACCAGAGCACGATCTTGCATATATTTGTGGTGTTCCTCACATGGCACGTGGCGAACTGCAAACAAGCCATCTTATACCACTCTTGAAGGAATGGCTTGGCATGACGCAAAGCTATGACAGATGCTCAAAACTTGATATATTTTATTACCTAAACCTCCCTTAATCTTCTTCACGTCTTTATTTTGACATATCTGACGTGTTCCTTTATTTTTATGGCATTGTTCTCTGGCAAACTTCACGAAACAGCTGGATTTTAACTCAGATAAAATTACACACAGGTGGACTCTATTTTCTAATTAGACTACTTTTAAAGGGAATTATTTGCGGTGGATTTTATGTTGGGGAGCCGTATACAAGTCCATGTCAAACTTTTAAGATGTTGAATTAAAAGTTATGGATCCAATTATGTGCTACCTTTGTGCTGATCTAGCACATGCATTTCTATGAAAATCCACTAAAATTTGTGATTGTGGCATGACAAAGTATTGAAAACGCACTTTATATGCAACAGTTTTTCTTAACCAAGAACAGATTCATACCCATAATGCAAAAAAAAAATAAATAAAAGCATTTATCACACATAAATGACAATCCATTTCTGTGTCCAGTCCAGTTCATTCCACTCTGTGTTTGAACTGAACTTTAGCCTGAACATAGTGTTCTATGGAATGAGAACATTGAGAATCTTTTGAGCCTGTAATGTTAGGAGCAACCTGGCTCGGATGTTAATAAACACTTTTGCAAGGCACTGCAATATGGGTATTTTAATCAGTTTCTCAACTTTGAAACACTCACAACATGGTCTGTTAATCACATGTTGCGTGATTAACAGACCACACAACATGACACTACTCTGTAAGCATCAGTATTGTTTGTCATAATGACAGGTTAAGTTTGAACTCTTAATCATTGCCATGAATCCAGTCATTCTCAAGGAGGATACATCTTAAAACTTACCCTTAGGTGTTAGGTTTTTTATTTGTGTGAAGCCCTTTCCAGTTACTCCACTGACACCATAAAGCTCATTTAACCTTTTATCACTTCCAGATCATGGAATGTCACATCTGGAATTATATTGTAAACACAAGTGCTGAACCATTTTTTTATTATTTAAAGCAGCCAACTTTAACACATCCTTCTCTGTGGACCAAAACAGTCACGGAAAACATTCCTTAAGGACCAAAACGCAAAATCTTACCAAGTATTTTTGGTCCAGTCTCTAGTGCAAATATCTTAGCGCATTGAAATAAGTCTAAATTACAAATACATTTTCAGTAAGATATAAGCTTGTTTTAGACAACAATTGCTTAATACTGATAAAAGTACTACTTCTGCTGGCAGAGTATTTTACTTATGGGAAAAATAATCTGACAGTAGAACTAGTACTTTTTCATTAATAGCAAAGAATTGTTATTTTTTCTATGAACATCTAGCCATGGCACAATGAAGCCTGGCACCTTTTTGACAGTGGAAACCGCTATACAAACACAGTCCACAGTAGAGGATCTCACATCTGGATACATCAAATCAACGTCATAGTTTCCACTGGTCTAATTTCCATCCCTTCTGATTGCAGCCGTTTTTTGTCATCTCAGCTTCCATACATTGTGGTTTCTTTGTACAGGTTTTCCCACGAAGGTCTGTTTAAGCCATTCTCAAGTAAATTCCTTTCCGGAATTGACTGACTTTTATTGAATGTTAAATACCTTCATAAAACCTACAGGAGTACAGTCCGTCTGTCCATCCAACCACTCATTCTCTTCCTCTAAATTAAGATCAGATCATAGCCGTAATAGGCCCAGCAGGTAAACCCAGACATTTTCCAGCTCATTGGGGTGGATCCCAATGAATCCTGATGTCACAAAGAGTTATAGTTCCTCAAATAAGTGCTGGCTCGACCCACCCAGTGGGACATACTTGCACCACCTCTGCTAACACCTTTGGAGGAGCTTCTAATTTCAGCTCTAAAGCAGGAATGTTCAACTTCAGTCGTCAGCGCTCCTTGTCCAACAAGCTTTAGATTACTGCCTGTATCAACACAGGTGTTGGGAATGGCCAAATTATTTCTTCAGCATTTCATCAAGTTCTGCAGAGGCCTGTTATTGAACAATTTTAGATGTGATGAACGAAATGTCTAAAACATAACCAACACTGGCAATGGTGGCCTGAAACAAGACATTGTTGTTGTAAGGCAAAGCCCAGTCACCCTTCAGAGGAACATCAGTTTATCTTCCTGTATCCAGGATCATTGTCATGATCCACATCTCATAACAATAGCTAAATGCACTATTAATTCCACAGATTCATATTTTAGTTCAGCTTCTTCTCAACTAAAGACCAGGGCAATTAACCCATTAAGGTAGATAAGCGCTTGATCCCTTAATCCATGGCTGGCTTCTTCCTGGCATCATTTAGGAACAAGACACTGAAATTCACTTGATGCAGAGAACATCTCTGACCTGCAGGCAGTTCCTTTTTCCATTTTCCATGTGTTTGTCTATGATTCTGACTTAAAACGCTCAGGCTTTACAGATGTCATGTGTGTCATCGTATTGGCGTGAAAAGACCTACTGTGTCGACAAGCAAACGGTTAATATATAGAAAGTTAACCACCCAAGCACAGAACATCGTGGAGCTCTATTAATTGTTGAGAGAAAGAAACTCCAACCCGTGACACAAGTAAGACCTAAACAGTGTTCAAAACACTGCAGTGTAATAGTGTAAGTGTAATACAGACCTATGATCACACAGAATATGAGTGAATCAGAGATTGTTGTCTATAAGAAATAAATGTTAGCATTTGTACCTCCTCAGGTGAAACTTGGCTGTGAGGCACCAAACTCCAAGGTGGTGAAGGTTCCCGATGGACCTCGGTGGAGCAGCACTGTTGTCCCATGTGGGTCAAGGATCCAGACTGGAGGTGAATGTCGCCTTCTGGATTTCGAGTCAACAGATCGCCCTCTGGTGGTGAACTTTGGCTCGGCCACCTGACCCCCATTCATCAGCCACTTGCCTGCCTTCCGGCAGCTCGTGGAGGACTTCAGCGACGTGGCTGATTTCCTGTTGGTCTATATTGATGAGGCCCATCCTTCCGATGGCTGGGTAGCCCCTCCCATGGGGCAATGTTCTTTCAGTTTCCAGAAACACCAGAACCTTGAGGAGAGAATAGGAGCTGCACGCCAACTCATCGATCACTTTTCCCTACCACCACAGTGCCAGCTAGTGGCCGACTGCATGGATAACAATGCCAACATTGCTTACGGGGTGGCAAATGAACGGGTCTGCATAGTGCACCAAAGGAAGATCGCCTACCTGGGAGGAAAGGGACCATTTTTCTACAACCTGAAGGATGTGAGGCAGTGGCTGGAACAGAGTTACGGCAGACGGTAGGAGTTATGAATGACATGACAGAGGACACATGAACACAGAGCCTCATGGCTTTGTATAAGGTAAAACTGAAAAGGGTTTGTCATAAAGATGTCAGCCATCGGGCTCTAAACAACTATTTCCTGGAACTGCAGAGCACTTTTTTTGTTTTCATACACACCGAGTGTGTTTTGTCCGCGTTTGTACCGATTTGCTGCTGAAAAACATGTTCTAAAGAAGAAAAACACTAATTTCCAAATTTGAAAATATTTAAGAAAGATTTTGTGATTATTTTTAGAAGGATTGTATATTTTTTACATCTTTTGTAGATGTTTTTTGCACTATTCCAACAAGTTAACATTTATCTGCACCTTTACCTTCTTGATTTTCCATGCAGGACATGCTACAGCATTGTTCTCATTCATGTTTTGATATGAAACCAAAACAGATTTAATGTGGCAGACATTTGACTCAATGTGGCCTTTCCTTTTCATCCCATTGTTATTTTAAATTAAGTTCCTTCTTACAATAACTGCATGCAGAGGACATTATTCCATTGGTTAAAAAAAAAAAAAAAATCTAGCTTAGGGCCACAGGTCTTCATGGTTTGTCTGTATCTTATTTCCCAGTTCCACTACTTTAATACCACCTCAGGGATTCAGGGTAGCAATTGTGTGCTTTTAGTTTCAGTCTATGTGTGCTTAACTAAAACATAAAGCCCAGCTTTAATCTTATCTGGCAATTAAAACTTTCCTCCAGCTGACATGAAGCTTTGCTGTGCTCACTAACATTTAGAAACACTTCTATATGCCTTGCTGTTTTGGAGAGATTTTGTGATTTTGAAATTCCCTGTTTCCACAGGTTGAATTATGCAGAAAGTTCAGGCTTTTGAAATACCTCAATGCTGAAAATTACATTTGGACTAGACTAGATAATGAGGATTCCCCTTAATAAAAAAGCTGTTTGTAATTATTTAGGCATGACAAAAGCCTTTGGTACGTTTACTCATCAGTTATAGGTTGTACCACATTTTTATTTGACAAAGGGACTCTTTTTAAATTATTTGTCTTTTGAATGATTGCTGGGGGGTTTGGAAAGAGATTTGGTTGGATTTTGGAATTGGTAGATCCAGCTTCCCACTTTGTAACATTTCAACAGTGGACAAACACACTGCTGTACCGCACAAATCCGTCTAAAAGTAGGTGAACTTCACAGGGTGTTGGTGAGGTCAGGCAAGCATGAAGAAGTCAGTGCGCTCCCCGTTAGAGAAGAATGGATCACGGTAAGTCATGGAGGGTTTTGAGCATGCATGAAAAGTCAGAAAAGAATAGAAACAACTTTTATTGTCCAGTAAAGGGGAAATCAGGGAGATAACAGCAGCAACAGTTATAAAGATTTACTCAGTCTTGAGCAGTCTTTTTGCAGTTGCTGTCTGGCACATATTGATTTGCTAGTGATGATTGGGACAAGATATATTGTTTTGCTCCACTACCTAAATCCTCATCATTGATTGAATGAAATGGCTCTTGTACTAGATGTCAGACACAGCTTTAGAAAAAAACCACGTTAGCCTGGAAAGATTAAACTAAAAACATTTTACAGTTATGTTATTTTTAAAGATACACCAATAAGTTTGATCCAAAGATTATAAATGTTCAAGGATCCTTTGATCAACACACAGATTAGCTAAAAAGAAGTCAGAATTTTATATTTATTTTTTTACAGGCAACATAGCTAGCAACTCTTTAGTCTAAAAAACGCAGATAATTTGATCCATTCTTTTTTGAATTTACTATACATCTGGTAAGAGTTTATGACATGCTATTCTGTACTGGTTTCAATGCTACAATCACTATCAAAACGTGCTATTTTTGTGTGTTGCAGTTCTCAGAATTAGCAAGTAAAGAAAACTGGAAATCAGCATCAGTCAGAAAAATCTGATCTGTCCAGCTTTTATTCTTATCTCAAGATCTCCAAACATTCACAACATGTGAATAAATAACTTCCGGACTGCTTCAGTATTGGTAGAACTAGAGGCATGATTTACTGCACAAATCCTTGGCATGACTGTGATGCTACAGAGTAAGCAGTGCTGCAGTAGACAGACCTCAGATCATATATCTGTTCTGTATTCTGGAACAGAAAAGCACCTGGAATTCTTGAAGAAACAAGGAAAAAAATATTTTGAAATGGAAAAAAAAAGAGAAAATAAGCCCAGATGCCTTTTGTTTCAGCACTTTTGCACTAAAGGGGGTCACATGATTAGTTTGAAAGCCACATTAAATCTATTTTGTTTCAGAGAAAGATTTACCAAGGCATGCAAATTTTCCTCTGTTTGTTGGAGATAAACCACAGTTTACCAGGACTATCTGTTTTTACTTTTGTAAATTACACTTGTTCAGGTGTATGAGATGTCAGGATCAGACATACTGCCAAAACAACTATAACAAGAAAAATCTTTTGCACTAACGTGACTACCACCAGCTCCTAAACTACAAGAAAAGTGACTCGTTAACTGGTGCAAACCTTTGTAAATTGGCCTGCAAGATTACAGGTAGAGATTTATATTGACACAACTCATGCTACCTTCATAGAACATTTTAATGTTTTGCAGGATATCTTAAAGATGACTGGATTGCTGCAGATGTTTTAGTCAGGCGAGGGGGATTTGTATTCCAGCAACAGAAACTTGCTTCCTGAGTTAGGCTGAAAAAGTTTAATCTAGGATGCAATAAGAGCCAGCAAGCTTCCAGGTTCAGAATTCCCTTTATTCAGCTCCTAATGCAGAATTCATACATGTACATACAGAGATTTTTTTTTTAAAATGTATTCTCTACCTGTTAGGATGGACAGATAGATGGCAGAAAATAAATGAAGGAATATGAAACAAAGCCAGGCAGAATTTTTTTCTCCGGACAGATGATTTGTCCTGCCCTCAGTGATAAAGGTGTGCAAATGAAAACCTTTGACGAAAGAGTTAGCGGCTCAGTCTCTGGTTGGATAATAGACAACACTTTGTCATCATGTCGCAGGTTCATTGCATCTGTTTTCATTTTCAAGTTCTGTCTCGTGTTACGGTCTCATGCAGACAGCTCTGGTTTCCATCTCTGTTTAAGTGTAACACTTATTTTTATATGTGAAATGGGGGGGAAACACCAGTGGTGAAAAATAAAGTTTAATGTTTGATTTGAAAATGTTTGATGTGTCATCTTTGAGCTATTCTGTTGGTTAATCTCAAGCCATTACTAAGACATGTGACAATAAACATGTTGTCCTCTCAACACCATTAAGAAACTGATGTTTGGAACTTTGTTTTCAGTTGTGTCATCTAAATAGCTGTTTTCAGTACAGCTTTTTCCACTTTGCAATCTTCCCAAAACATAAAGTTAGACCTTTTGAGGAGTTTCAAATGTTACTTTCTCCCATTTATCCTTTGGACATGTTTTAGTTTCATCATGCCATTTGGGGTTTATAAATTCTCCAACATTCTCTGCTGGGGAAAGGTCAGTACGGCAGGCATTTCCTCTTCTTTCTCAAGCATGCCTTTTAGAATGTGAGAAGAAAGTGGTTTTCCAATGCATCCAAGTTCCTGGAGGAGGTCTGGTCTTTCAGACAGCAGCATGTGTTACATTTCTGCATTAATGCTGCCTTTAAAGGAATGGAAATGAGCTTAGCACTGATGTAACCCCAAGCGGTTGCTGAGCCTGAACTTTGTGACTGGTTGAAAACAAGCTGGCCTGGATGCCATCGTTCCTTGTTGCTTCATTTCTTCCAGCAAGGACATAGAATACTCCTCTGTTTCACGACACCGTGCGATGATCCAATCCAGATGTCGTCGATGCCCAGAGACGTGGACCCTGCTTCTATTTCCTCATAAAAAGTTTTAAGATGAAATGACAAGTTTGGTTTGCATTATTATTTGTTTGTGCAGTCAACTGTGCAGCAGCCTAGGACCGTTTTACAATGAAATTATCTAAATGAAACTGACTTTCAGCTACCAACTGTCTGTTTGTTGACAAGCTTTACAAGAGTGGACAGATTGACCAGTGGACCACTTTCTGAAGAGAGCAACATTATGTGCAAAGGGTCAATTGAATAGATTAACAAAGTATTCCGAAATAATTCTCTTGTCCATTCTAGTTCTAAGAGCTGTTGACAAAAGTCGGTGCCATCAAAGGAGTCAGAGTGTTTTTGCAAACAAATATATATTGTATATTAGTCATATATTAATTCACAGTTTATGCAAATCCTGTCAGTGTTTTTATTTAGAATATCTTGCAACATGTAATGCAAGAACGGATGGATATGTGTAAATGAATTTAGCAAGACACAACATGACAATCTACAGCCAATAAATATTTAAGTAAGTTTAAAAATCACTCACTGATTTATTTTTTTCTGTTTTGCAATTTCTTCTTCTTTGCAAATGATAGCAACATGACTTTTCATAAAGTATTTAACTTCCTAAGAGGGTTTAGGGGCTAGCTTCAAAATGTATTTTCCGGTGGACCCCGGTTTGTTGTTCAGCTGAACCTTTGTTCTGATTTATTGACCAGTTAGTCTAAGACAAACAAAATAGATGAAGGACAATAAAATGTGGATGTGTATACATTTGGAAAGGCACCCTTCCTGTTCCATATTACTCCAAGCTTCTAATTTTCCATTATCTCGCCCTTCTGCTCCCCAAAGCTGTCATCCGATATTTGTGACAACGAATCCAGGTCACTACAGCCTTCCCTGGACAGTGTTTGAAAAAGAAGCTTTTGTTGCAGATTCTGGGCAATCACACCCAGTGTTTAAAAGGAAACCGGCTGTCTCCTTACCCCTGAGAAGCACACAGAGTCCAGCCAGACTCCAAGTAATGTTGGAAGAGTGACAACGAAAAGAAGCATTGCAAGAAAGGACACAAATTAGCAACACAATGTCAGCGGAGGTTGGAAAACATGTAAAACAGATTTCACCCATTATGGTTTTATATAAATACCTGCGCATTTCTACTTAATAATTTAAATATTCACAATAATGTTTGGATAGATTCAAGCTGTGGGCTATAAAACATGTTCATTACATTTAATACTCAAAATTATTCTCAGATATTCAGATTAGATTTCATCAGATCAGCTATGCCTGTTTTGAGCTCATTAAGGGATGTGGCGTTTTCGGGCCATGTCATTATTATGTAAATGAGCTGCTGCTGGAGACACCTCCTAACTCGGTGATTACACTAGCACCTCAGACACGTGAAAATGGCTACCAACAGATACACAGTGGCACAACCATACAACCTTGACCCAGAAGCAGAAGAAGTGGAGCCTCCTGAACAACCATCAAGCCAATCACTAAAGGATTAACGACTGGTAAAAATAAGATAACATTTTATATCACTATTTGATGCCTTTGACAAAACATACCTTATATCAATACCTAAATATCCACAATGTTACATTATGACACTGATGAATGTTATGTTGATCAATTACAATACACACAGACGTCGTTCTTTTCACTATGTATTTCTTGTCTTACACTTTATTAATCCTTTTATTTTTATTGTTATTCTTATAAATAACAATGAAAATAAACTTTAAAAACTCTCCCTCATGAAATAATCCTGCATGTTGAAAGTATCATCTACCATTTTAATCAGTTTTCTGCAGAGCAAAGATATAGTTGTTTGCAAAAAGAGCCTATCTTTTAAATTACATTTCATTTCCTCTAACCTGAAAAAGTCCGTTCTACAAGAGGTTTGTCAAAGAAACATGCACCCAGCTTAAAAAAAAACAGAAAATGAAAAAAAAAATGTTATTCACGTCATGCTGTACTCTAAAATAAATCCAATAATATAGCATAAACGTGTAGTTTGAGGCCCTGCTAATATGCTTCATTTTCTACATTTTGTTTTGCTTCCTTATTCATCTTTAGTTATTAGCTATTAATATTACTTTTCTAACTGCACACATTCTAATTAATCAGTTTCACTCAATGTTGAAGTGAAGCCATTAAAAAGATAATTTATCGAAAACGTGTCATTTGTAAAAGTAGTGTACAGGTTTTTTATTGAAAGCAAAGAACCAGATGATAATGAATATTTTGTCTCATCCCTTCCCGTTGGAGTTTTAGGGAGGTTTAGAAAGCGACTACGTTGTTCTACTAACATCTTACCGTTTTGCTTTCAGCACATTAATTTTCACATTTTTCATTTCCATTTTGTACCGTGACTACCTATAAACATATCTCTACATTTGATCACATATGAACTTCAGATGTTTTTCTACAAAGGATGTCAAAATATTTTACTTTGTTTCGTCATAAACAGTGGGAGGAAAGCTGATAACTTACGAAGCACTTGTAAAAGCTCACATTTTTCCTTCGGTATTTTTGGTGAAGAAGCTAATATTTTTGCCTGAATCATTAATCACTATTTGGAAATCAGTGGGCCGGTCGCTGGAAACTGATCAGAAATGGGATACAGAACAACTGTCTGCCTTTCATGTTAACAAGAAACCTCCACGGCAATGAAAACAGCAAGTCTTCTACAAAAACATGTCTGGATATAATAACAATAACAAAAGCTGATTACAGGACATTCATCTCCCCACTGCAAAAACAATGGACCCAACAGTTTATAAAAAGTAGGACACAGATGTAAACAATCAAAGTCTCCACACGCAAATATGCAGAACATTAACATGATTTCTGCTTACTGTTCTCAGCTGAAGCTCTTAGCATGGTTTTGTCCAGTAACATCCTTTTATCTTCATCATTCTGTTTATGAGGTCTAAACTCATTTTGAGTTTAGACCTCTTAAACCTGTCTTGTGACCTCTTAAATTTGTAGCCCTGTAACTTAACATTCTTTAAAGAGCCTTTCTGAGAACAATCTGCTGTCTGAGTTTTAAAATTGTAATCGAGCTGGTTTATGCCAATGACAAAGCCTGCGTTTTACTTTCCTCTTTAGACATGTGTGGCGTAGACACGTCCTTACTGAACTACTAAGAAATTACCAATGCTTGACAAAACAAAGAAGAATTTCAGAAAAATATTACTTTTAAGCTCTGTTGGGAGAAGCAGAATAAATTTAAATTGGTTTTACTTGCTCTGGAAAGATGAATAGACAAAAACCACAACGGAAAATTATACCATTTTGTTTACTGAGGAAAGTATAACTATCCAAATATAATGCCTTCCAGACGTTTTGATTTATATGGGACTGTGGAAAGTGAATAATGCTATATTACAATAAATATATAGCTTATGAAATAGTTATTTAAATGCATTATTCATTTTTTAAAAACTAGGAATAAATACATAAATAATTTACTAAATGTTTATGTAATCATAAATGCCTGAAATGTATTGATTTCATTTGAAGAACTTGATATAATTATGTAATGGCTAATTGATTGTTTCATGTTCCTGCGCTGAAGCATATCAAGAATTGATTTAAAGTGTCAACTTCACCAATCAAACTCAGGGGGCAGGATTAGAGTAGTTTCTATAGGGACCGTTACTGTTTCAAACATCAAGTCAGGAGAAGTTCCTCCAGGTTTAACGTGTTGACAAAGTCAGTTTTGTCTTCAGCATCTCATCCATTCATTAAAATTGCCTGTTCCAGTAGATGTTTAATATTCCCTCTAGTTTATCCATTTCTGGATTTGTGTCATTAACTCTGCAAAAACAGATGTTTGTGTGATTACCTTGAGAAAAATGGTGGTGGGCATATCCACAGCGTTCACCTCCAGACCTGAGCTGAGCATCCAGCCAGATGGCCTAAACGTACCTACTCAAACATTTTTATTTGGATGTTAATGTACCTACAGAAGAACTCATAGATCTTAAACTTTTTGTCATATTACAAGCCCAAATCTATTAGATCTATTTAAGTGATAAATCACCACGCAACAGCAAATAATTGTAAAGTGAAACCAAAATTATAGCTGGTTTCCAACAATCTTTTTTTTAAAAAGTGTGGTGTGTGTGCATTATGTATTTTTTCACCTGTGTAATTTAATCTCATTATGCATATATGTTTTCTGTGGAGGCCTTATCAACTGCATTGATTAAAATATGAAGCAGTATTAAGCAGGTTTGGTTACAAATCAATACACCAAGATGTGAATATGTCATGGACCAGTATTCAATTCATCATCTGAAATTAAAAACTGCAAACACGCCAAAACACGACACTCCGCCTAAACTAACAAACCAAATAGGGAGACCATTAATCAGAAAAGCAGCCAAGTGCCTCATGGCAACATTTTGCAGCAATTCACAGGTCAGATGAGAGAATCTGTCAATTGGAGAACTATTGGTTGTGGACACCACAAATCTCATATCTTATGGAAGATTGGCAAGAAGAAAGCCATTGTTTAAAAAAAACAAGCAAACAGAAAAACAATCAGAAGTCCCATTTAAGCCACAAATTATGCACGGTGTAAATCAAAAGTGGAACATGCATCTTCTGCAGAAAAGTAACACCCGTAACAAGCCATCCTCACAAGTCTACACGATGATGGCAGCATCACCCAATGCAGCTGCTTTTCTTTCCAGCAGGGAGAGGGAACAGCAAATCTACACTGCACAAATGGTGTCCATCCACTTTGACTGAGCTCCAGCTATTTTGTTATCAATAATGTGCAAAACCAGTTGAGACATATCCAAAAGACACACGGCTGTTAGTTTAGCAAAAGGTGGTATTTCAAAAGTATTGACTTTTTAGAGCTTTCTCTGCCAAGAATGTTGAAAACTGAGTCTGTTTACTTTCATGAACAGCTATGCTCTTCTTTGTGTTGGTCTATTACATAAGATTCCAGATGAAGACTTACAAATTGGGACAAAGTTCAAAGGATATTAATACTTTACCTGTAGGATCCCTGTGTAGGAGTCTGATGATGACTTTGACCAGTTCTTCCTCAAGTCTCAATATGTGGCACATACATAACAATGTTAAATGGTATGGCTAATACCCACTAAAAATGATGATGTACAACAATGACACGCTTTACTTGTAGGAATGATTTAAACAGACACAACAAACAGCAACAAAGGCATACAAAATCCTGGACTTCATTAATGGTCAGTGGTAAAGGCCAACATTTAAAACATATAAGGCAAAACCCTTTAGGCCACAGACTTTTAAGCTGTTGATCCTAATGTTACTTTCACAAATAGTGTTAAAAAGATTCTAGTGCTAAAGAGGATAATCTTTCAAAAAGCCAATACCTTGCAACATCTGTTGATGTTGCAACAGATGTTGGTAATGTTGGTAATTACTCTGGTAATTACCAACATTACCAGTGTTGGTAATGTTTGCCTGCTTGTAAACACCTGATTTAAATGAATGTGTAATTCACAATGCAGACACTTTGAAGGAATTATTTAATCATTTGAAGCAGGCATGAAGCAGGCTATGAACACCTAATACTTGTATAATCTGAATTCATGTGGAATCCTGAAACTGATAGACAGCTGTAAAAAAAAGTTGATTATTTTTCCCCTCCAAAGTTGTTGCAAGGATTTCTTGAGCAGTTTGCTGCCTTTTTAGCTAACCAACATTTTATGCGTGAGTGGTTCCAGTCCTCAATATCGAGAGTATTGCCAAAACATCTAAAACTTGAGGGATAATACCATGTAAGGACTGGAGAGGTCTTTGGACTTCCTAAGGAAACATAGGACACAAATAAATGAATGTCAAAGCTGTAAACTGAAATCCAACTTGAATGGCAAATCTGTTAAAGAGAGACTTTCATGGAGTTTCTTTAATTTATTCCACAACTTTACCAGTGTCAGAGAGATTTCAGTGATTTGGTATTAACAGCAAATTCTGTCAGTGGTTGGAGGTTCTGGTCCTCTTGTAGATCTTGGTGACCAACTGAGGAAATAGTTGGAGTTGGAGCAGAAAGGTCTAAAACTTGCAAGAAACTGGCTCTTGAAGAACCCACCAAAGGACGGCAGCCAGGGATCCTCAAATCCAGGCCTAGAGGGCCAATGTTCTGCAACTTTTAGATGTGTGCTTGGTTCGACGTGCTTCAGCCACCTTCTCAGTGGAGTCACGTTCTCCAGTGTGCTGCTAATGAGCTGATGATTCGACTCAGGCTTGGTTACACATAGTCGCATCTAAAATCTGCAAGACACCAGCCCTCAAGGCCTGGATTTGAGGATCCCGGGTCTATGGCCTTCTCAAAAACACAAGATAGAAACACGGATGTTATTTCGATGAAGACATAAATCCCAACTGGAATAATAACCTGCAATAAGAAGACTAAGATGGGGATCATTTGATTTATCCCACAAACATCTTGCTGAGGGAGAATAACTATGATTTGTGTTGTTAATAAAATATTTCTAGTATTCCAAATAAAATGCCATGTTTCGATTGCTTATGCTTCAAGTGTGGTGGTCACATCATGATTTCTTGTCTTTGCCCTCATTTGGCTTCAGAAACATAGGGGCGAGACCACAGATGAGGGGGAAATGTTGAAATGATCTTACAATTGGGAAAAGCATGACTACACTAATTGCTCAACTGCATTTACCCATTGATAAGAGAATAACTTCAGAAAAAAATGTTTATTTGTTATCAAATGGATGAAAAAAGAAAAAAAATAAATAAATAACAATTGTAACCCAAAATATGATTTCTAAGAAAAAAGTATCCACTTCTTTAATAGCAATGTCAGAAAATGCAAACATAAATGAGTGGTAAAGTTTTTCAAGATGTCAACTAATGACAAAGAAGAAATGATGTCCTTTTCAACAGTGAACCCCCCCTTTATAGCTTTTTATTTGAGCTTTACTGTCTTCACCACGAATCGGAGCGTATGCTCTTTCTTTCTCTCTATAAAAAAGTACAAACAAAGCAAAACAGAAATCAATGTACCCCAGGACAAGAACGCCATGGTTGAGAAGAAAGGGCACCTTGTATTTGTTGGACAACTGCAAGTAGTTAAATATTCATGCAACTTTAGAAACATCTCTGTGTAGATTTCTAGGCTAACAATACATTTTTTTTATTCTTCATGAATATCAATATGATTCTCCACAGTCTGGTTAAAGTCTTTCTCCATGTAAATTAACAGATAGATTTTTGTAATGAAATCTGTTGATAAATCATATCTTCAGTCTGTACAATAGAGGTACTAAAAATTACAACTGTCATGGTATATGTACAATTTACTACCTACAAAGTACAACAGATAGCATGTAATAAAATATGTAAACAAATTTCTCTTTTTTGTTTTTGTTTTTTTGACACAGTTGACTGTGACAGCAGATAGAATTCACACTTTCAACATCTGGTTTATTTCTGTATACACATTGGTTAACAGTGTAGTAGTACTGCATCTGTGTTCATCCTGACACCTCCATAGAAAAAGAGAATGATAGGCAATGAACCAACACACACTTGTGCAGATAGATAAAACCACCACAGACTGTGCAGCAAGAAGAGATCTGTTTGAGGGGTTTCGAGAAGAGGTGGCGGGGGGAGTCCTGATCCTAGATGAAGAACTGCCTTTGTGTTATCCAAGCTGAACACTCTTTACTGGACTTTTACTGTACTGCACCTTACTGTGGAATCAGGATGGCATGCATTTTACAATCAGGCGCTTCTTACCAAGAGAACCGACAAATTCTTCCCACAAAGAGAGTCACTGTGTCTGTCAGACAATGAGAATAATTGTGGTGAATTAGATGCCAGAGCAAACAGATGGTATGAGGTCTGCCCTTGGCAATTGGCTCACTTGGATTCATATTATACACATAAAATAGTTTTCTTTTCTTACTGTTCTCTTTGAATCTTTTTTTTTTCTTTTGCTTTAAGCAAAAATAAGTAAGACACCACACTTATATTATGTATAAACCATAAAAATCTGTAATATTTTGATTACAAGAGTCCTTTGTGTGCCTGACCCCCTCTCGTTAAGCACTACTTGTTGCTTACATGCTGGAAACGTTTAAGATAATGAGCCTTTTGTAATTAACAATTTCACAAAAATTGTTTAATGCCAAGGATCACGTAGCTCTAAAAGTCACTTAGGAGAATGATGCTGTGAAATATTTGTATACCGACAATGTCTCTGACCAGATAGAAGTGTAAGGTTTCTAAAGTTGCTATTTAACCTTGCCATTAAGCCTTTTGCTTAATAGTAAGTGTGCTTTATGTTACAGTACATATCAGTTCAACTATTCAGCACAGTATAGAATTATTCAAGTCCCATGTTATACCATCATTTGTCAAAGCTCCTCACAGGGAAACTGGTAATAAAAGTTCTCTCAGTGCCTTCTCTCTTTGTTCTGTCGTGTTGACCAAAGTCTCAGTCACACATAATACTCCTTATCCTTGTTTTTCTGTCTCTTGTTGCTGCCTTTCAGGCTCTGCTGTTTGTCCTTCATGACAGCGCCATTGCTCTGCACAGCCGAGTTGGTTATGTAGTGCCGGCTCTCGTCCACCTGGTAGGAGCCTTCATCCCTGTTCCTGTACTTATACATGGCGTACAGGAGGATAAGGATGCACAGCGCTGCGGCCGCCACTATTCCGATGACCATCCCGGTGGTGCTGCTAGATTCACGGACCACCTCCGAGGGCCCCGGGACTCGCCTGACGCCTGGCTCTGTGGGGAGTGCTGTGGGTATATTATGGAACATGACGGAAATTATTAATGGGCCCCTCAGCTTGCTGCTGTCTACCTCACAGGATGTGGCAATAGAAGCAACACTAGGTTGGGGCTGGGGTTTTTAGCTCGCGGTTTTTTGTTTTGCCGGAGAATTGTGGAGGGATGTGGTGGAGGCAGAGGTGCTAGTGGTGCGGCTCTGGTTGGCGGTTACTGGTATGGTGGTTGTCCTACTGCATCTGAAGATGGAAGGTTTGTTTGGTATAAAAGTCCTGGGCGCCTGTGCTTTGTAGTCACCTTGAAAGTGTGATGTAGGTCTTAACAAGGAGGAGTTCGAGTGAAAATCTTCATCATCATCAGTGGGGGCAGGTAAGACTTCAACGCTTTCCCAGAGCCATACCCCGATATCACCAAGCCATCATCATCACAATCATCGCTGCCTCGGTCCGACAAGCAAGGTACCCCCGCCTCAGTGGCCTTGGACAAGGACTCTTTGGTGGTCTCAATAATGGTGAGGAGTGGGTGGTGGGTTGAGGGAGTGGGAATGAAGGGTGCACGGGGAGCTACAAAGGGGTGCTCTAATGGATCCTCAATGACTAATTCAGCTCCTGGAAGTGGAAAAAGATTTATTTTAGAACCAAACCCTGTGATTTATGAACCAAACAAAGCCAGCAAAAGCCATATATGAAAACATCTTAAAAGGCTTAAGAGCTAAAATGGGAGCCAGAAGGACAATTTAAACTTTGATTATATTTCAGTTTATTTCAGCCACTAAACCCTGGCATTAATTTTGCTTGTCATGATCAAATTAATCTAACTTAATCAGATTGTTTGACTTCAGAACAAACCCATGCCATTAGGGCTCCACAGGCATCCTTGGCTTTTGCTCTGAGTTCTTTGTGTCAACCTGCTTTGTTTAATTTTCTCCAACCCTGAATTTGCATTTGCAGCTCAAGTCCAGTCCTTGAGAGCTTCCATCCTGCAACTTTCCCCTGCATCCTTCCTCCAGCACACCTGAATCAAACGAATGGCACATTGCCAGACCCATTCAGAGTTGAATGACTGCTTGTGAGGGAATTCTGCCATTTGATCCAGATCTGTTGAAGTAAGGATGCATCTAATAGTTGCAGGACGGTAGCTCTCGAGGACTGGACTTGAGCACCCATCGCTCTGAAGGACATTAAAAAAATATTGCAGCTCATCCTGAAAGCACTGCAAATTAGCAAAAGAAAAAGAAAATAATTTCTCTAAAGACAGTGCTGATGTCTTTCCTCTGGCAAAGTATACAGATTCCTGCTTTCATACGAGTCCTCTGATAATAATTTAATGTTATGTGTTGCTTTGGTTGTTGCTACTTTCTTTTTTAAATTCTGTCAAAAGGCAAAAAGCTAAACATCATTTTACACAATAACTGTACATTTCGTATAACTTGTAGGGTTGCTGTTGTTCACATTTACTGAGTGAATGCTCAGCCAGCTCTTTCCCTAGTACTGGTCCTTGAAACATACTTGCATGCCTTGCATGTTTCAGCTTTTCCTCTGTTTTAGGACACATGGTTTAAATTGACGCGTTAAATTACTAGCCTTCAGCAAATCTTGATATCCAGCTGCTGGGGGACTTCTAACGTGTACCCCCATCCAACACTGCAAGGCCAGGAAGTGATCCAAAGAACTGATTTTATTTATTGTGAAACCAATTGTAGTATTGCTACTCAGTGGCTCCCAGTTCATCTTAAGCCTCTTTTTACTGAGAGTAACACACATAAATGTAGCAACACCTTCATAAATAGTTCTCAGATGCAGAGCTGAATCCTTCATTAGTGTTGTAGAGTGAGTCTAATTTAGATTTCTAATTTAAAAGTAGCAACTGAGAAAAAAAAAAAAAGGTCAGCA